ATCTGTTACATTCTCCTAAAAGAAATGAGCCCTACTGTATCCAAAGGAAGTAGGTTGTGAATAGGATTAGAGTGCTATTGTTATCTTTTTGTTGCAGTGTTTTATGCTTTTCAAGTTTCATTTGGTTTCTTAAACATATTTCATCCTTTATTAATGTAGAAAATGCAAACATTCAAAAACCTAACTTGATAACTTGAAAGTATTTTTTCTATCCTGAAATAATATTATTCTATGAAAGCCTCATTTATTTTTCTGATGTAACTCTACCCATATTACTCAATGGTAAATCCTGCCGAAATTAAATGAAACTTATTCCCAGTATGTGGGTACAGGACTGCATCCTAAACTCCTTTGTAATGGTTCTGCACAATTTTGAAGACATAAAGTTGGTTTATTTTCTAATAGATCGGTTTCCGATTCCAAGTCGCTTCTGTCAACTTTGTACATATCCTGAAAGATACTTTTGCACATTATTTTTCAATATGACTTAATCCTACAATATCTTCTGTTCTTACTAAATAGGAAAATGGATATTACGTGCTTAAGATTACTCAAAAGCAACCCTAAACTCTCACTGATGGCATCTTAGAGCATACTGTTCATATCTCTGTTTCTTGTACCAGCAACAGAAAGTTCTGTCACCTTAACTAATGACAGGTAGTTTATTTCAGTAGCCCTTAAACAAGGTTGTTGAGGTTGTCTCAGAGGTGGCGAAGGATCTACAGGATTCAGGATCTATGGGATTCTAATTCTCCATTTTTCCTAAATGTGACCTCCCTATAACAGGTAGTCCATGCTTACTGACATTCAGCGACTGTTTGAAGTTACGATGGTGCTGAACAAAGAAACTTACAACTGGTCCTCGAAGTTTCACCCATCACATGGGTCCCCGCAGTCATGTGATCATGATTTGGATGGTTAGTAACTAGTGTGCATTTACAATGGTTGCAGCAGCCCATGGTCATGTAATCGCCATTTGTGACCTTCACAGCAGGCTTCTGACAAGCAAAGTCAATGGTAAGCTGGCAGGAAGTCACACGCGGTCACGTGATGTCATGCTTAACAACCTGCGGTGATTCATTTGACTGTAGCCAGAACTGAAAAATTGATGTCATAAGTTGGATACAGTCACATGATTTTTCACTTTCAACCATGTCACTCAGAGACAAAGCTGCTGGTCCCAATTGCGGTTGTAAGTGAGGACTACTTGTACTTCAAGCAAGCATAGTTCATTTATTCACACCAACCTCCATAGGAGGTAACAGGGAAAAATGGGAGGATGTCTTTTTTAAAATAAGCCAATATTCCCCAAATTTGGTCAGGGCGCAGTGAGTTGGTATGGCCCCATTAAGTCTGACCTATTTGTCTTACTATGAACATTATCTTGGGAGAGAATGATTCCACAGGGGAAAAATGGAAAAATTTCTCAGATATTTAAGAAAATTACTTTTTTTTTCATCTTGCTTATTCTATACATAACCAATATTGCATTTAACAATGTCATTTTTATATTTCAATTTAAAATGTTGACAGATTAACTTATCTGCTGTTGCCATTATTTTCTTAATCTTCCTTCTCCTTTTTTATCTTTCCTTTGCCTTAGTTTTGCTTAAGTCATTTGTCTCATTCTTTTGCAAAACATGATTGTTTCTAACAAGTTATCACCTCTCAACCACTGATAATTATATTTTACCTTCATTTTTTTCCTTCAACTTATCCCAACGCTCTCTTCTCTGAATCTCAATATTGTTTGTTCTGCATACTGACAAGACATATTTCATAGTACTTTTCAGAATTTTCTTATGTAACTCTATTCTCTGAAAAGTGTGTTCACGATATTCTTAATACCTTTCCTCAACCCCTGAAATCTTAAAAAACAAAAACAATATTTCCTCCATTTCTGGAACTTCTGGATGGGGGTAGAATGGAGAAACAGCAGTATCTGCACAGCTGCTCCCTCTGACATACTCATCCTCTTCAGCTATTTCTCATGCTCTGCTCCCAAGTACGATATTTGCTGCCTACACAGCACTGCCATTTTTTAGGAAGCATGTGCAAGGAAGCATATATTTTATTGATGATTATATCTCATATCTTCAGGACGTTAGCAGTGTCTGAAGGATGTAGCCATGTAAAAAGACCCATGTTATATTATTAGCTACACTGAACTGAGATACTCCTATACTAGGGGGATCACCTGAGGCCGTATTCAGGGTCATATTCAACCCTGAAAGTCTTTGAGGTAGTCACCCCAAACTTCCAAAAATTCCTAAATCAATTGTAATTTTTAAGATGACAAAAGAGGAAATTATTAGATACATGACTGGAGAATAATTGTATAAAGTAGCCTAATTTTAATTATATGGAAACAAAATGGACAAAAATTAATTTTTGTTTCCAGCTCACCAAGATATGGCTCCTGGAATGCCATTCAAAGGCCAAGTGCATCTCTACACTAAAACTACACAAAAACAAGATGCTTTTCATGGCAAGAAAATAATATTAGTTTTACATCCAGAAACTTTATCAAGATAAGTGCATACATACTCCAAGCAATCAAACTTCAGTTGATCAATTAGGATGGAAAATTATGAACTATACAATAAAATATATTCCAAATTTATTGTGCACATGAGCTTCTAAAATATCACTAACAAACTTTATAATACTTCTTGAAGCACAGTTACAACATCTAAGTTTGTATACTCAAATACCCAAGAAGCAGGCTAGTTCCTCATTCAAATAATGGGCTGATGAACTAAGTGAGCATTTGACTGTTGTGAACAGAGCCCCAGAAACTGCTAACCCTTCTATATAAATTATTGTGGAGTATAAAGATCTATCATATATTAAATTATTTCTATTTGGACTGGACTTGCACAACTCTGGGGAACTGACTGCAAAATATAAACTAAACAAATTTCCACCTAACATCAGCAGGATGCCAATAGACATAAAGACACAGCCAAAAGTATTGGTACCCCTCCTCTTTTTCCCAAAGAACCCCAATTTGCTATGAAATAAGTTGAAACTGACACAAGTAAATGACATCCATCATTCTTTATTCCATAGTCCTTAGAGCAGGCACTTTGCTTTTGATGCATGACTTCACATATTCTTGTAAATAATAAAACAAATGAAAATGGCATGGATATAATAATTGGTACCCTTTAGAAGATAAAAGACAGTATTGGATTTTAGTGATCTCTAAAATGGACTATTTACTTTAATTAGCATGATTCTGAATTTCTTAATGTAATGCACATTACCTAAATGCAAAGTGTTGCACACTGAGGAAAAAAAAATCCCAACCTCCCATATATGCAGACTGACCAGAAAATAGATGTTGGAGTGGTGAAGCACCTTCTCAGAGTGCAGCTACTATGAAAAAGGCAAACACCATGATAAGGAAGTTTAGGAAAGGAACAGAAAACTGAACTGCCAAAATGCTCTTGTGCAAAACAATGTTATATTCATATATAACATACTGTGTACAGTTTTGGTCACAACATCACAAATAAGATATAGAAAAAGACAGAGAAAGAGCAACAAAAGTGATAAAAGAGATACTGCACTCTCTATGGAAGAGTTATATTTGTGGCTTTTAGTTTTTTTAAAAAATGTAAATAGGGAAAGAAAAATATGATAGAAACTTATAAAATTATGCATAGCGTGTACAAAATTTATTGGGAATTTTTCTTTCTTCCCAAACTGCTAAACCACAGGTGTCACCCAGGGTACCTCTCCAATATTCTTTTAAAACTACAGGCTTCTTTGACAAAGACAAGGCCAACTGTATCTCATGCTAATTAGCACATATCATTCCCAAAGGGCCAAACAAGGAATCTTTTGATGAAGATAGTCTGTCAGGAGAGGACCAAAATCTTCTCGGTTTTTTTTTTCTCAGTTTCCATCTTATAGTCTAGAGGTTGATGATTGGTTTCTAACATGCCCAGATGGGAAATGGACCATTCCTACAGACATGTTCCAATGTCTGACAGGAGAGTTGAACAGCCAAGGCAGATTCACCCTCCCTTTAGCCATACGAGAAATGCTTACTTTTTTGCCATCTTCATGCTCTAAGTCATCAGGTATGTTCTTTAGCATATACTCATGGCTTGACTACCCACTGATTTATCTCTCTGGTGACCCATTACATGTGAGTAAATCCTCTATGGCACAATAGGCTAGTAGCCTTATTGGAGTTTTTTTTTTTTCCCATTTCTGTATGACTAATCTGTTTCATCCTGTCTATATATTTTATGTTATGGATTGGAGGCTGAATATGTCTTGATTAACCCTAAAGATCTGGCTCTCCTCACATGCCTAAGACTCCTGTGAAAGTATAATGAAATCAAGCTGTACCTAATTTGGTGGGGAGGGGAGGAACAAAAGCAAGCCCAAGATCATAGCCATGCTGTACCCATTCAAGTCTCCTGGTTTTATTTTAAAAATTCCCACTCTAAGATCAGTTTAAAAGCAGCCTAACTGGCTGTTTGAATATTGTGAGCAGAAAGATGTTCATGCTTTAATGAACAGGAGAAAGGAGATGTCTTCACATGAAGTCCAAAGCACTTCTTCTGAATCATTTTCAAAGTGTACATAGGCCTACTCTTTTCACATTCTAATGGATGGAAGATATAACCTGCACTGCATCTGGCATAATATTGCCTGTGGACTATCTTGCATCTCACATCTACTCTAAAATCAATCTATATTATTATACATTATTAAAATTTGAAAGAAATTGACAAGACTAGGGGGTAGAAAAGATCTTGTTTTATATTTCTATTCCCCTACTACAGTATACGATACCAGAGCCAGTTTGGAACACTGCTGGTGTCTACCAAACAGGAATGACTGGAGTTCAGAGCAAAAAGAAGGTGCAAGATTCTAATTCACATCAACAAGGCATGGGTTAATGAAGCTGTTGGAAGACGGGGGTCCAGATCTTTCAGGAAACATTAGCAACCACAAAATAAGGAAATAATTATAGCTACCTGAACAGCAAGACAGGCAGCATTATCAGGAAGCAAAATCTGTTCTTCTGTAAGATAAAATGCAGGATAATTATTTAAAATAATGGTTCTTTCCTCTACTGATAATTGCACATCATTAGGAGTGCAAAAATAAATGGTATACAAACACTGAGAGACAAACTATTTTAACACAAATCACACGCCCCATTACATTAATGCCACTTTACAAAACCTGAGGCCAGAAGTCCCATAAACATTTCTCCTCATACGTCCTATAATTTGTCCTATTGCCCCAATAGTTAAAGAATCCTAACAAAAGATGTGTCTTGAGGTTTTTTTATTTTCTTTGTTATAGGCAAAAAAAATAATAATAATCACTCATTTCCTAATAGAAATAAAACCAACAACTTCATAATTCTTCTTGCTAAAAAGTAGAAGCATTCATAAACCTATAAAAAAAAACCCAGCTTGCAGTTAATATTGCAGACTGTGTCTAGGTCTGTCACACAAAAGAAAGATGACAAGTACACAGCAATAAAAATTCCATGCTTAGAAGACTAGGGCTGCTACCTATTAGTCTTCATTACTTTGCAGTCTTCTGACAACTGTAGCAGGCTGCTGAGCCCCAAATGGGGGCCATAATGTGATCTGATGATATATGAAGAGCTGCTAAAGGGAGCCTGAACCATCCTAGCCTATACATTTTAACAGTTCCTTTTTACCGAGAGCCCACTTTACCACAAGACTTCAAAAATCTGCTGCCTCAGCTATTGGTGCAGTAAATCTGCCAACTGGGCCTGCAAACCACATCATTTTACACTGCCTACAGCAGCCAAAATAATGAGTCAATAATAAACCAAGGACCTTATAGGCCATGAATAGCAGGTTTATATTGGTAAATACAAGTTTAGCACAATCCTCTGACCAGATAAATATCACAAAGGATTCTCTTTTTAACAAGGCCTCCCCTGCCCTTCAACCCCCACCAGGGTTCAGTTAATTATGGGGATGCATATTTAATGAAGAAAATTCAGCTAATTGAGGAGATAAAATACACACCTTTCAATGGCTGATATAACACAGCATTCTGAGGCCAAGGTTCAGCAGCTATAGGAAGGGCGAAAAAACACAATTACATCCTGCATTTTGTAAGGCGAGCATTCATTATTGCTTTTAGATCAAATTTTCTCTCAATTTAGTTGATAAAGCTGTAAGTAGAGGAATCTACCTTATCAATCTAAACTGAGAGAAAATCTGGATTGATAAAGTACATTCCTCTACTTACAGCTTTATCAACTACTTCACAAATTGTGCCACAAAAAACTAACTAGATGAGGATACAAGGTACAGTTCAATGTTTTTATAACACATATCTATTAAATAAGCACATGCCAAAATTTACATCTATCAAACTATTACAGCAGTTTTCTCAACTGTACTAATGCAACATTACTATTCTGATCCCTCATGCCAAAACCACAGAACTTGAAGACCCTATGATGGATGTTACTATCAGTGGAAAGCAACTTTAAGTAATAATTATTTTTAAAAAACAATAAAAATATGTATTCATGTCCTGAAATGGCTAAAAAATATATCATAGGTTAAGGGAGAAAATATCATGAATCAATATATATTGCAGTCTTCAAAATTTCTGCCTTTAGAAATTCCCTTTCCAGTCTAAACTGTCAGTCTAAATTGTCAAAAAATGTCTGTTGAACAGCACCATTCTGCATCAGGTTCAGCTGTTTTCTGTCTTCTCCAAATACGGACTTAGACTGCAATCCTTCATAAACTTGAAGGTATTGCCAATGGATGATTCCCTCCCCACAGTACATATCAGCTTCAGAAGAGAGACTTTCCTCAGGACACTAACACAAAGACAAGAGTTAAATTCTCTCTCCAACTGGCTGCAATGCTTTTAATTATCACAGGCACATGCGATTTGTTTTTGGAAAAAAACAATAGCTTAAATGCAAAGTTTGGTTCTAAGTTTAAATCTGAATTGGTAAATAAAGTTGTTGTGATGCTTCTTAGGATAGGAGGGACTGAATTATACAAATAACTGGAGGCAAAGAGCTTCAAAGATAAGGTGCTGCCAAAGAAAATGGATGGAGGTATAAGACAATAGATGCAATCTTTACGCTAACCAAGAGATTGGAATAAAAAAAAATGCAGAGCTCTAGAATGAGCATAAAGATACATTAAAGAAGGAAGTTAAATCAGGGGCAATAAAGCATAAATATTTAGAAAAAACAGACTTTTTAAATTAATAAAATACAGAAAAGGAGAATAGTGAAAAAATGGGAAAAAGAAAAAAAAGAAGAGAAAGAGAGACTGTTATGTAGAGGCAAGGATGTTAGAAGCTGCAGGAATAAATAATATATGTATCAGTGGTTTTAGATTGCATAATCTTTCCCCAATCCAACCTGATGCCCTCAATGTTAGATTACAATTCCCACCATTATAAGCTAAGGATGATGGGGTTGTAGTTAAATATATCTGGAGAGTCACTGAGACAAGCACCGGCACAACCAAGTTTAATTTTAATAATAACAAGCTATTGCATATTTTCAGTAAATAAAAAATATGTGTACATTAATGTGAATATCGTTTTCAAAGAGTGACTCAAAAATAAACAATGAAAATGTGTGCAATATTCACATTCCAATTTTTAATGCCTACACTAAGGGTAACAAATTCCAACAAATGTTAAAGTAACAGAAGGACCTAAGAAAATACTGAGAGAGAATATACCTGACTGCAAAAAAAGTATCCCTTTTCAAAAATATGCCCAAACATTAAACTTTGATCTGTAAAGATATTTTTCTTTGCCAAAAAAAAAAAAAAACCCACTAAGGAGACAGATAGAAAGAAAGACCTAATAGAGCAACGGAGAGCCACTCAACAAGCTCGCTTGTTAAAAATCCCAGAAACTGCCATATATCTCAACTGCCACACTCCTGCTCTAAAATTTCCCTAACTGTAAGGAGCATGTTACCATGATAAAGCTTTTCTATGCTGCACACTTGTGACATCTGTAATGTGTAATCTGCCTCTTTGCAAATGGTCTATGGTGTGAGAAAGAAAAGAGGGGTGGAGAAATAATACTTTATGAATATCTAAAGAAATCTGGAGGTGAAAGGGAAGGGGTTTTGTAGGAACTGTTCTACAATTTATATGGACATGGAGAAATTCACAAAGCAAGGATTATGCAAGCAAACAGGTAGCAAAGGCTTTGTTTATTTGCTAACTTATTAACTTATATCCCAGCAGTCCTGGTTGCCGTTAAGTGAATGCCCTGGTCATTAGGTGAGGCAACTTCCTGCCGGCTTCCCACAATCAAGCCAGTGGGGAAGCCAGCAGGAAGTTGCAAGCCCCACGTGCTGCCAAGTGGGGGAGGGAGTGAGGGGATGCATGGGAGGGTCAGGAACTGCTTGGATTTCGGCATGGAGCTTTTTCTCCATGAGACAAGAGGGAGTCCTCTAGGCAGGCAGCAGTGG